CGTGTGCGCAGCGTGTGTACCTGCATGCATGCTTGTGCGGTGTCAGACTGTGGGTGCGTGTACGCGTGCATGCATGTGTGTGTGCATGCGTGGGGGTGTGTGCGTGCGTGTGTATGTGTCTGCGGGTGCGTGTATGTGGGTGTGGCTGTGCGCGCTTGCGCGCCTGCGGACGGCGAACAGTTACTTTCCACAGCGAACATAGTTCTTGTAGCAGGCACTTCGCCATCTGCCGAGTTTCATGATCTCGGATTCGGTGAAGCCGCTCATTGCTCCTGTGGTTGCGGCTCCGGCTCTGAGGCCGTGCAGTGAATACTGGATAGGTGGGTACCCTGCGCTGCTCAGGAGCTGACGGATTAGACGTGTGAGTCTTTGTGCAGTTAGGAACTTGCCACAGCTGTCAACGAACAGTGGTCTATTGGGCAGGTTGGGGCGTCTTGATAGATAGGTATGCATGGCTTTGACCGGGCAAACCGTTGAGTTGGTGGTTGTGAGCCGGACGGAGTGACCCTTGCCGAGTTGGTCGGTCTTGGACTTCTTGATTGTGACCTGTATTGCCTGCGGCGTGATGGAGAGGTCTTCTGTTCGGAGGCCACCGTCTGACATGGTCGTGGCGGTTGTGGAAGTGTACTCACTTGCCCGGAGACACCCAAAGAAGCCCAGGCAAATAGCTGCCCATACCATGGCTCGGTCGGTCGCGTTGAGGTTAGACCGTATCAGGGCCCTGCGCATAGCTGCCATGTGGGGCAGGAGGATTGGCTTACTGGCGTTTTTAGTTCGGTTGGCCTGTGCACGTGCCACTCCTTGAACTGCGAGGTCCACTCTTCGCGACGAGAGATCTTTGCCGTTTTCTTTGGCAATTGCCCGGATCGCCGACACATACAGGCGGACGGTTGACGCGGCATGTTGACGCGCCAGGTAGGCTACAAACGCCAGCATGATGGTGTCTGTAATCACCTTGGTGCCGACTAGTTGGCAGAATTGGTGCAGTCGTTTCCAGGCTGTCGCGTATGTGGCACGTGTGGACGCTGACAGGCCTAGCCACTGGTAGGCCTGACCCTCCAACATCAGAGGGAGTAGGTGCTCTCGGGCACCGGAGATGGCGTGTCTTCTGCTGTGGGTGCCAGTCGGCGAAATCGGGCCATCTGAAACCGAGACAGAGAGTCAGCAATCGCATTGTCAGTGCCGGGGATGTGGGAGACTATGACGTGAAAGTTGTGTCGGGCAGCAATGGCAAACAAAGTGCGTACCAGCGCCATTAAGTCGGGGCACTTTGTGCGTGAGCGGAGCCAGATGTCGCATACGCTACGGTTGTCGCAGTGGAAGCGGATGCGCTTCAGATGCAGCTGCGGTGCCCATGTGGATGCTGCGGCCACGATGGCAAAGAGCTCCATCCACGCGATGGATCTCTGGGATTGGTGCCTCTGCCACCGGTGTTGGAGCCACCGGCCGGCGAAGAAAGCACCATAGCCGATGGCTCTAGATGCGTCCGTGTAGAGGTCCATATCGGCGGCGGCTGACCACGTGGGTTCTAGGAAGAAGGCGACGCCATTCCAGGCAGGGAGGAAGTCAAGCCACCACTGGATGTCTGCTTTGGCGTCTTCTGTGATTCTGATGTAATCATTTGGATGCGGGACCGTCGTGCTGAGATCAATGAGGCGGCGCAGAAACATGCGGCCCGCAGGGACCGCCTTGCAGGCAAAGCTGAGGTGACCTATCAGGGACAACAATTCAGACTTGCGGGCGGTAGGGCGGGTATGTTGCCAAGCCTTGAGGGCAATGAGAAGGTCTTCTAACTTGTCGGATGGGAGGCGGATTTCGAAGCGCTCTGTGTCCAGCATGACACCGAGGAATGTCAGGGTTGTACTAGGGCCTTCCACCTTTTTTGGATTGACCGGGAAGCCTAAGTCGTGGCAGGCTACCAGGGCACGGTCAAGCTGGTGCTGTGCGCCGATAGAGCCCGTCGCTCCACCAAGGTAGTCGTCTAAGTAGTGGATGACTGGGGCTACGTCGAAGTTGTGCGACATGACCCACTGGAGGGCGTCTGCGACTTTGTTAAACAGCAACGGTGATGAGCGAAGGCCGAAGGGTAGGCATTTGTCCACGTAATATTGCCCGCGCCAGAACAGGCATAATAGTTCCCAGTCCTCTTTCCGTACTGGACAAATGCGAAATGCGTCTTGGAGGTCGACCTTCCACAGATGGCAGCCACGGCCGAGGGACCGTGCGAGATTTACGCCGTCGTCGACCGAACAGTACTGTACAGAGAATTTGTCGACAGGGATACCATCGTTCACTGAGTGGCCCTGTGGTGCTGACAGATGCATAATCAAGCGCCATTTTTGCACCGACCGTGACTTCTTGGGAACCACACCCAAACCGGAGACCTGTGTAAGTGTGAAGGGGGGCTCTTGGTAGGGACCGGCCATGCGACCTGCGGCAATTTCACGACCGATGGCAGCATCGACAATGTCAGGGTGCTCAATCGCTGATTTGAGATTACGAGAGACTCGGAAGGTACGGGGACCAGCAAACCCAACATCGAACCCGTAAGACAAAGAATGTATTACGAATGAGGCAAAAGCCGGATCAGGATGCTGACACAAAGCGTCATGCAGGTAAGAAACGTTAATGGGGGTTACAGGCGTGTGCAAATGGATTGGCTCGTGAGCGAGGGTGCGTGTAGGAGAGATGTGAGCAGCTGGGCAGAGTGTGTGAGTGCTATTGGCCTGGGTGAGTGTAGAGTTACCGGTGAGTGACTGGGGTGACCGAGTCTCCAAGCTGGGCAACTGCGAGCTATTGGTCGCGGCTGGCGGCGGCTGGCTTTCCTGGGCATGACTTGGCGGGGTGGCTGCCAAAGCATGTGCTGCACTGGTGGCCGTAGCGACAGGCTGCGCGTTGGCAGCGGCCTTGGTTGTAGTCGCGGCAGACAGCTGAAATTGCAAAACAGTTGGATGCACGCAGCAGCACAGCTAGCAAGAGAAAGAGCCGTGGATGGGTTTGTTCCTGTTTTTGATGGCTGTGGCCATCCGTTGGCCCAGCGGTCTCGTGTGAGTACGGTGTTTGTTCGTGCTGCCAGCTCGCGCCCGGCATTTGTTTGCGCTGGCAGCTCGGGCCCGGTGCGCGAGTAAAACCGAACCGTGACAAAGGCTTTCGCTCTTTAGTGCTATTGACTGGCTTTTCATACGATGCCTATTGATGTCTAGAGACATGCTGTCTAGCCTTCCCCCAGTACGCATTCACGGGGCTTTGTTGAAGTTCGTGCCGTGAACTGCCAAAGGGAATTGTTTGAATGGTGCTGGGGCGAGTGTGACATTACGGCGTCCCTGCAGCCGGCCTAATCGCGTTTGTCGCCACAACCGATTTTATTAATCGCACATCATGGCAGTAGGCTACAAGCACAATTGACAAACATGTCACCGGCAACTGCACACGGGTGCGCGTTACAGGATTGGCCTGGCAACTTCAAACAGGCGCAATTGACAAACATGGTGCTCCGCTGGGCAACGTCAGCGGGAATGCACCAAAACAAACACAGCCCCGGCATCAGCAAACGGGAACGCCGTTACAAATATGGTGCCCCGGTAAACTCAACGGGAGCGCACTAATACAAGCTGGCCTGGTAGCTTCAAACGGGCACAGCTGACAAACGTGGTGCTCCGCTCGGCAACTTCAGCGTGAGTGCACCAATACAAACACGGCCCCGGCAACAGCGAACGGGAAAGCCGTTATAAACATGGTGCCCGGAAAACTCAACGGGAACGCACCAATGCAAGCTGGCCTGGCAACTGTAAAGCGGCACAACTGACAAATGTGGTGCCCCGCTAGGCAACTTCAACGGGAATGCACCAATACAAACACGGCCCCGGCAACAGCAGACGGGAACGCCGTTTCAAACATGGTGCCCCGGCAAACTCAACGGGAACGCACCAATACAAGCTGGCCTGGCAACTTCAAACAGGCACAACTGACAAACGTGGTGCCCGGCTGGGCAACTTCAACGGGAATGCACCAATCATGTGACAAACACGGCCACAGCAACAGCAAACAGAATCGCCGTTACAAATATGGTGCCCCGGCAAACTCCACGGAAACGCACCAAGCTGGCCTAGCAAATGGGTACACTGTTACAACATCAGACCATCACATCAAGATGCCGCTGTGGCAACAATGTATATGTAGCAGCAATACAGCAGACATGTGAGGTGGATGTGATTGGGACCGTTTGGCCCGCGTGCTACGCCCGAGGTGGTGGCAAGTAACACTGTCCTGATGTGAGGACTCCGAGTCGGCACTAGCATCTGAGCTCTGAGTCTGACTAGAACTAGACTAGTCTAGAGACTTAGAGTAGTGCTCACCTTCATCTGAGTCGGAGTATGCCGGTCTTTGACTGAGAACAGTCAGACTCACACTCGGAGGCACTGGCAACAGTGTCCGCCGGACTCGTAGGCACTTAGGCCAAGCAGGTCGTGAGACCGTTCAGGCCGTTTAGGCCGTTAGTGCTCGTCACATTTAAGGACGCACTATGGTGCCGACAAGGTGCCGGGCTGGAGCCACCAGCCACTCGTGTCCTGGCTTCGCCAGAAACATCACACGACCCAAAGGCAAAGTCACGGCGTGACTCGCGTGGACGCAAAACACTCAAAGCACCCGGCCCATCTTGGGGTGTCATCACACGCCCGCATCCACGGCTCAGGGGGTTTCGACCGCATCGGCCGGCACGTGGGCAAGGCGGCGAGCCGCCTGATCATCGTCACGCAAAGACTCTAAAAGCTTCTCCATCGCCAAGAGTCTAAGACGGTGAGAGGAAAATATCCAAGGCACTTCTTGTTCGAGCATGAAAAAAGGCCTGAAGGGCCTTGGATGAGCTGCATCAAGTACAGCTTCATTAGAATATTGAACTTTTAAAATGCTGTGTTCGAGCATGAAATCGCGTAAATCGCGAGGGCTAGACATAGTTATATCTCACCGGAAACTCCGACATGCAATTATAATACTGTTACCTGGTGATGTGGTCAATGGTGCATTGTTTTCTGTTGAACTGCTTTGGTAGGAAGTAGCGGTGCTATGTTCCAATATGCCTGACGACACAGTTGGTGCAGATGAAGCAGCTGTGCATTTCAATATAAGAAGCAAACTGGTTTTCAGGTTTTTCAAGAAAAAGCGCTTGGAGAGAAAAGAAATCATGGATAAGAGGAAGGACAAAAATGCATGAGCTATGATTAACCGTCCACCATAGTAACCAGATCATATACAGTCAGAGAGTGTGCTAAAAAGGCTCAAAATGCACAGGGAGTACTGAGACATTCAACCGGACAAGACACCTAGTCTCTTTGGCACAAACCTATAGCCTTCGGAGTTGGAACGCTCGGGTTAGGAAAGGTCCAATGAGGGAAGGAAATCATGTCTCTGTGGGAATTTGCGGAAAAAATTCTCGAAAACTTGCGCAAGAAATTGCGCCAGAAAACAATGAAAAATGCGGCGAAAAGTGCGGAGAGATGTGGAACTTGCCAGAAATTCGCGGAATTATTTGCAGAAAATTGTGGATTTGGGCCAAATTACGAAATTTCTTGCACCCGTAGAATCGCTATTTGCGCAGTAGATCTACTCGGGAGTAGTACAAGTCGTACTGTGCAAAAATCCAACATAATCATGGAAAGCACTGCGTGAAAAGTACTGTCGTGACATTCACATGTACGAGTTTAGTGTGTAGTACTCGGTAAGTACGTACTGAGCTCTGTGTCTTTCTCTTGTCTCCATATACTGCATGCTTCACGTTACACGCTTATCAGGTTGACCCTGAGTTCATGTCTGCTATCCCGTGTCTCCTCTATTTCTGTTTGCTTCCACGTGGTACCCGGTTACAGTGTAGCGCTGCACATGTTCCGTCAGCTTGAACTGTAGCATAAATCGTACTTTAGTCATGCTCACACTTCCTTTATGTCTCGACCGCAACATGCAACTTGTTCGAAATGTAGGTACTTATTACATTATCTCCATTATAAGCCCCGGACTTATATAGTTTGACCAGTCCGGACCCTGAGCTCATATTGGAGACTATGCTTCTACTAGAGACTGGGCTCATAATTTTTAGACCATCTGTTACATGTACATTGGTCATCATTTTTATTACATAAGTAGCGCAAAGCTTCCCACCAGGTATTGGGAATGCAGTTTTGTACTTCCTGGTACACTGAGTCTGTTCCTTTTACCTCAGGGCTCACAGACTTGTGCCACAACATGTGGGTGTGTGACACTTTGTGATGTCAAACATGCATGGACATGATCCATGCAGTTTTCCATTATAAGCCCTGCGCTTATGTTGGAGACTGCGCTTGTATATCTTCGAAGCACTTTTGGATTGCGCTTATAATAGAGACTGGGATTGTACTAGAGATAATACAGTATTATTATCCAGTTGAAGTCCTTGAAGCTGCTCAAATTTGTATGCAGAAGCCTGATTTGCGCAAACAGAAAGAACACATTGTTGCATTACGGTTATACTTGTAAGCGTCAACATCATGTTTTCTTCTACACTTTGGCATGTTAGAGTGCAACGTTGTTTGCTAGCCTTCTTTCTTCATCACATTAATTTTCTTAGCAACCCTTATGTGTCGTTGGTAGCACTACTTGATTGCTCAACGTTAGTTTTTTCAATGTTTGCCCTTAGTTCTGTATGTGCATGTACATGCATATAATGCATACAAATTATAATACTGTTACCTGGTGATGTGGTCAATGGTGCATTGTTTTCTGTTGAACTGCTTTGGTAGGAAGTAGCGGTGCTATGTTCCAATATGCCTGACGACACAGTTGGTGCAGATGAAGCAGCTGTGCATTTCAATATAAGAAGCAAACTGGTTTTCAGGTTTTTCAAGAAAAAGCGCTTGGAGAGAAAAGAAATCATGGATAAGAGGAAGGACAAAAATGCATGAGCTATGATTAACCGTCCACCATAGTAACCAGATCATATACAGTCAGAGAGTGTGCTAAAAAGGCTCAAAATGCACAGGGAGTACTGAGACATTCAACCGGACAAGACACCTAGTCTCTTTGGCACAAACCTATAGCCTTCGGAGTTGGAACGCTCGGGTTAGGAAAGGTCCAATGAGGGAAGGAAATCATGTCTCTGTGGGAATTTGCGGAAAAAATTCTCGAAAACTTGCGCAAGAAATTGCGCCAGAAAACAATGAAAAATGCGGCGAAAAGTGCGGAGAGATGTGGAACTTGCCAGAAATTCGCGGAATTATTTGCAGAAAATTGTGGATTTGGGCCAAATTACGAAATTTCTTGCACCCGTAGAATCGCTATTTGCGCAGTAGATCTACTCGGGAGTAGTACAAGTCGTACTGTGCAAAAATCCAACATAATCATGGAAAGCACTGCGTGAAAAGTACTGTCGTGACATTCACATGTACGAGTTTAGTGTGTAGTACTCGGTAAGTACGTACTGAGCTCTGTGTCTTTCTCTTGTCTCCATATACTGCATGCTTCACGTTACACGCTTATCAGGTTGACCCTGAGTTCATGTCTGCTATCCCGTGTCTCCTCTATTTCTGTTTGCTTCCACGTGGTACCCGGTTACAGTGTAGCGCTGCACGTGTTCCGTCAGCTTGAACTGTAGCATAAATCCTACTTTAGTCATGCTCACACTTCCTTTATGTCTCGACCGCATACTTGACGGAGCGAGGTACTTGGGAATGAACTTCCTGTACAGGCGGTGTGTAATTGTGCCATAAGGGGTAAGCTCAAAGCGAACATCAAGAAATGGAACCGGTCGATTTTCACTGCTTTCGTAAGTGAACTTGATAATAGGGTGCTGGCTATTTCAGTGGCCAATGAATACCCGTAGAGCAGCTCACCCATGGATCTAAATTAAAATTGTATCGTCGATATACCTTGCATAGAGAGATGGCTGGAGGGTGGCAGTCTCCAACACATTTTTCCCATAGCATGTAATTGCCAATAAAAGAGGTAAGGAGACTCCCTCGATTTAGGCTAAGGCCTGTGGAGAATCCATACATACAAAATACAAATACAAAGAGGAGTGGGTGGGTGAAAGCCAACCACGGCTGAGGAACGTAAAGAATTATAAATAAAAGAAAGGAGGGAGAAAAGATAAAGAAAAGGTAACTAGAAGGGGACTATAGAAGTGCTGCAAGCTGGACGTTAAAATCTATGAGGCATGATGTAGGCTGAGTGGCATAACGAAGAATAAGCCATGCCGAGAAGGCAAAAAAAACACAGAGGCGAATAAAGCAATTTGGCTGTTAGTTCAATCAGGTGTTGCTGGATTGTTAAGTTCAACTCGGATGGTGAGCCAGTTAAATTATGATGAAAAAGGAGTTGGACAAAAATGTTACGAGTTATGACTAACTGACAGTAACTGTCCATCAATGTAACCAGATCTTATACAGTCAGCGAGTGCGACAAAATGGCACAAAACTGACAAGGAGTACTGAGACATTCGGCGACCTGACACCTAGCTCTAACACTTCTCGAAGGTGCAAACCAACAACCTTCCAACCTGGAAGGCTCAGGTTCGGAAAGGTCCAAGAGGGGAAGGAAAGCGCAACGAAGAAGAGCACGAGCTACGTCCCACGGCAACAAAGAATGCCGAACGTTACTGGATGATGACGAAACTAGTAAGACTATTGGACATACCGGCCTTGCTACAACTCGACGATGCAAAGCAACAGACTACCCAACTTGGGAGGCTCACATTTATGTAATAAACATAGAAAGGGGAAGCTAAGCGAAGACGAATTATGACAAACCGAAACGTCAACATCCTACTGAACTCTTTTACGTTGATGGACAGATGGTCACAGGGATTAATTTGTCCTGTACCACATCGCAGTTTGCGATGCATGATAGATCTACTGCTACTAAAAAGTCACCGTGACTCGCACAAAATTGCAATACATACAGGCTATCCATGCCTAGCCTGCGCTGTCAAGTAACATGCATACAGTGCAGTGTATGTGGTGCAGGCACTCTCAATCTGCATGCACATGTATGCTTCAGTCGGGGTTTTTTGCAAACGGGCTTTCAGGCATCACTCTCCAGAAGGACAATGTGGTAAACACCCAACCTTCAAAGAAAAATGCTAATCAAAGTCAAAGACTGCTCCACAACTGTGATTTCGTATAGCAGAAACTGCTATGCAAAAATATGACAGAAAATTCATCCCTGGGTCAAAACTCGTGACATTTTTTGGAATCGTTGTTGAATTTTTAGTCGCAACACAAACAGGCGATGGCGCCTCCTTTTATACATGTGAGCAACATGACAAAGTTAATAATAATAGTAATGGGGAGAGGAAGAGAAAATCACAGGTGAAAGAAGTCACCGAAGGTACCTGAATACTGGTATTCTACATAATAGAGCTGCGGGAAAAAGAATCCTGTTGAAAAACCGAAAACATGGAGTATAACTGACCGATTTGAAGTCGAGTAGTTCATTTTCTAACATCCTTGCAGAACATTAGGCACCAATAGATAGGATTTGATCAGATAAAATCTTACACAAAATTAGAAAGGATTGACCATTGGTGAACAGATAGAAAAGTAGAGTGACCTATTTTGAATACTTAACCACCAGGTGGGTAAGTTTGAGTAGGTGGATGCTCCATCTATCCAGCAATGGGCTGGGCGACAGCATAGAGGTCAGTGGAAGGGGTCATGCACGGTAGGCGGAAGAGGAGCTTTTGAATTTCTTTGCGATGCGTTTCCAGGAGTGTTCCATTTGTTGCTGATAAGCCAGCCCAAGAAACGTCAGCGTAGTCGAAAAAGAGGGCGAAGATATAAAGAACAGAAAAGAGGTTTGCAAGAGGTTGGGAGAAAGTAGCAGTGAGAGAAAATCATACCCAGAGAGGCGCTGGAACGTTTACACCGAACATACATGTAATTGACATGGGGGAGTCCAATACATTACGTGAATCAAGCACAATACCTAGGCTTGGTCACACAACACAGTGAGCTAACCACCTGGGTCAGTCGGCAATCCTGTACTCTGCAACTGAACTGTCGCTGAAAAGGAAATTTAAATCGCCTTAAAACGTGCACGAGTACACGAGCAAACAAACAAAATTTGATGTAGGCACACACCCCTCTCTTTCTCTCTCTCTCTCTCTCTCTCTCTCTCTCTCTCTCTCTCTCCCTCCATGAACTGTTTATCGGCCTTCTCCTGCATATCCGTAGGCTGACTGTGCTTAGGAAATGGTTCTTCAAGGAGGAGATACTTGGTATTCGCCATCTTTCCTGAGACATTTTCAGCCAACTTTCAAAACTACGACATTATTTTATTCGTCAATCTCCACCACCTGTCGTCCCACCTGGCTTCAGAAGATGTTACGAGAGATAGGGGAGTCACCAGGAAGCATCGCACCCATCTTCAGGAAGTGGAAAGAGCAAATGGCATGGTCCTTGGTTGGGGTAAATGCTGAACGTCTGATTTGTTGAACGTCGGAGCCGGGTACACATGTACCTGGCACTGTCTCACCAGCCGGGTACACATGTACCTGGCACTGTCTCACCAGCTGAGTCACATGCTTTAAAGGGGAACTCCGGTCCAAAATCACCCCCAGTTTTTATTGCGCAATCCATTAAAGTATGTCGTAAGTGGTAGAATGGCGAAAACCGGAAGCTTCTACGACAAGGATAACATACCTAAATTACCAATTGCAATTTTCCATATTTGGCACGAGGGGGCCCCCTCCCACCCTGTGACGTAAAACGTTCTCAGTGACCTCCAAATTTTTTTATTCAAATGGTAGACCTGCAGAAATTTTGAAAAAGGTATTCACTGTTTCTTCTTCAATCAATAACCCTTGTACTAGTATTCATTCGATCATCATGTTGGAGGAAGAGGAGACCACGGGAGGTGTGGTGGTGGACGCCACTTCGGATTCAACAACACCGAGGCCTTTTTAGGTTCGAGCCGAAGCGCGCATCAGCGTCTGCGAAACTGTCTACAAGTAATATTTCTGAGACTACAAAACAGATGAACGTGAAGAGAACGCTTTGGTCGCAAGTGCTCGCGTGAGAAGCACTGCTTGATGCCGTTGCGGACAATGCAGCATGATGTGGAGCGAGGTCGAGTCGACTTGTTGCTGGGAAGTTCCTGCAGCTTTCAGTAAACGCGGCGAGCAGGAAGGGCTGCAGTGCGTCACGCAGCACTCAGAGTTTGCTGTTGTTTGCCTGCAAAAATCAGTGCTCGAGGTGGCATTGCTTTCCTTCGAAGAATTTCGGGCAAGGTGTGGACCGTGGTCAAACAGGTGAGGATTCACTGAATCGCTTTCATTGTTTCCTTTCTTTCCATGTTTCATGTACCGGTACAAAGTAGATGGGAAGTGTTGTGCAATGATTTTGTGTACAGTATTCAAATTCACCAACTTCCATCACACAATCATGAAGTTCTATTGCACCCATGCCAATATAATTATACTGGTACAACGATGTCTTTCATTCATACTATTCCTAGCACTGCAAGTGTTTCAACTGTGTGTAAAAGTGATGTAAATTTGAAAAAAGGCCAAAGTGTCTTTAGTATAGTAGCCCATAGAAATATTAATTCGAATCCGAAACTATTTACACTGAAACTATTTACTTTTACACAATCATGAAGACACTCGTGGTATGTGTATCTACATCTCTCCAACTGTTTTGTGCAGGATTTGGAGACATGTGGCGTATAGACAATACACATGGTTCACCCATGGATACTTTGGACGCAAGCAGCGGCGTGTGATACCGTCTTGCGTGGTATCGAAGATAAAGCAGCTGTACCAGAAGCCAATGCAGATGCGCACTGGGGCTTTGAGGAAGCAG